GGGGGGGGGGGGAAGAAAGTGGAGTCCGGTGGAATGTGTGGAGGAGAGGCCGAGGGCCGCTGTCCGCCATCCCCACTTCTCCACGAAAGAATACATTCTCCTATAGATAGACATGGCATTTACACAGAAAGCAGAGAAGGATCACAAGGGCTATATTGTACCATTATTCCCACTCGAACTCAGGAAACGTCGGGTTGGAGAATGGCGGTGGAATTACGGGTCGGGCCCCTTACAGACCCTCTCCAAACAGCGGAATAGCAGCTCAGAAGCTGCGGTAGATTTGAGGCTCTTGCCATGTTGTGAACACCCGGGGGTAGCAGCTTCCACGTCAGCCACAGCCGAGCAGAAGCCACTGTTGTGCCCGAAACATTCCCTGCAATAATTAAGACCATCACACACCTTCCTAAGCAAGAAGCTCGATGACAGCTTTAGGAGAGGACAAATAGTTGGGGTTGGAGGTAGCGGGTGCCTCTCTCGCTGGGTTCTTTTTGTGTATTTATCCCTCCTCCATCCGAAGTTTGTGGTGTTGAAGCAGAAATTCAAACAGGAGCCGAGCGCCCTGATAAGAGAGAAGAAAACTTGGTGAAGTTTGCAGCTTCGTCCCGCTCGGCTTTGAGACACGGCGGGGCTGCACGTGGAAAATCACCGCTCGCCTCTCCGAGATGAAGGGCGATTATTAAACTGGCGACGTTTTGAGGCCGAGAACAGGGAGGGTGAGGTGGGGAAAGAGCAGAGAGTTGGTATTGAGGATGAGGAGATAAATAGGGTCAGGTTGTGCCCTTCGTTTTGTGGAGCTGAAGGGGACGGGCACCCCCTTCCTCCCCCCCCTCCTCACCTCCCCACACCTCCGAATCCAACTGATCCCAATCTGTATTTCCTTCCCAGGCACGGATAGAAAACGCGGCCGGCAAACCTACACCAGGTATCAGACCCTGGAACTGGAGAAGGAGTTTCATTACAACCGCTACCTGACGAGGAGGAGACGCATTGAGATCGCCCATGCTTTGTGTCTCACGGAGAGACAGATCAAAATCTGGTTCCAGAACAGGCGCATGAAGTGGAAAAAAGAAAATAAAACTGCCTGCTCCGGTTCCAGCAGCCAGGAAAAGGCAGACGTGGAGGATGACGAGGAGGAATGAAAAGGACAAAAGGTGGATCCAGGAAACGTGAAAGCTCACGGGAACGGGGAAACAAATAAAAAAGGGAAAAAAACCACCCAGAAAAGACTATATACTAAAATAGATCGACGTTAAGTGCATAAATAATTAAAAACTTAGGAATGATGCGTTGTGTTTCCTGACACTGAAAAAAAAATACTACCTATATTGAAGTCTTTTTTTTTTTTTTTTTTTGTACAATAGAATGAATATCTACCTATTAAATGTGGCTTTAGATTCAGAATAGACACATTTTTTTTTTCCTATGTGAGTCTTCCTATAGTCCCAGTAATTTGTAAATCTCCGTTTGTACTTCGCTGTGTACTTTTGGGTATGAAGTAACGTGGTCGTGTTTAGCACCTTTAATTTAGAAGATGTGACCTGAAAATCTGAATGCAAATTATACTTAGCATATATAGAGTCCTGTACATAATAGGAATTATTATCACGCCTTCTCCCTGTAACCTCTGTGGTTCTTTCCACGTTGCAAGGCTGTTTTGTCTGTGTACATTTTTACCCGGATTTCCTCCTTGTTCAAACCCTAGGAAAAAAAAAAAACAACCACACACACAACAGCAAAAGAAGAGGAATTAATATTGTGCTACGTAAACTGTTGTATATCGAAGTAGCAAAGTATTTAATGGCGACGTGTTGCTTTTTATTTTTCCCTCGTCTGTGTTGATTATTCCTCGAAATAAAAAGCGAATCTCCAACCTTCTCGAACCGCGTTGTGTTCCGTTGCCTTTCCTTGCTAAGAACACAACTCAAGGCTTTGGAATCTCTCTAATTATATACGAGCAAATGTTTCTATTAAAAGGCCCCTTTCCTATTAAAACCTGCCCCGACTTTTCACCACCCTGCTCTCCTCTTTCCTCTCAGCAGCTCTTCCAACATTTGAGCGCTTTTTCTTTTTTCTTTTTTCTTTTTTCTTTGGAGAGCTTTGGCCAAAATGCGATGAGCGGCACTGAAATTCGCGACCGCCTCCTCTGCGGCCACTGCCGAAGGAGGAATGCAGAGAGGCCCAAATCACCTTTCGTTGCAATTCTCTTCTTCTCGAACCAATTTACAGGAATAAAAAGGCCCGATCTGTTTCGCCGGGGCTTTACTATTTTCTTTTCTTTTTTTTTCTTTTTAAAGATTCTCCCTCCGCTCTTCAATTACTGCGGATTGGAACTCTTTCATTAGCACCGAATAATGTTTAGCATCAAAGCGCGCATAAAAGAAATTAAAGCAATTAAACGGGCAGGGGAGGGGAGGGGGGGGAATCAACAATGCAAAACAAAAGCGAGCAAATTTAAGCACTTGCGCAGCCCCTGCCGCTCTCCCCCTCCCGTTTATATATTACAGAGTGCGCGGCACAACGCGGATTCCTCCAGCGGAGGCTCCGCTTAACTTGCTCGTCAAATGCGCTCTCAGGATGCGGCCGGGAAAGCGCATAGAGCTTCTGGTTGGGGAATGGCAGCTTTCAGCCTTCCTCCCTTTCCTTTTCGCCACCCACAGCCACGGTTGGCCCCACGGAGGCGAGCGGGGCATCCAGCAGAAGTACCAGGGAAAAAAAAAAAGGGGGATGATGCCACGTCAAGGAGCCGCGCGCCCACATCCATAAGAGCGATTTGCAGCGCAGGCTGCATCTGCTAATTACGGCAAGCCCATTAGTAAAAGGTGCCACTTACGGTGGCATACGAACACTGGAAATTCCGCTCGAAGGAAGGGAAAACAAAGGGAAATCTCCCGTTTTATTTTATCATTATTTTTCTTGCTGAATCCTTCGCTGCGATCCTTTCGCGAGGTTTAAAAGGAATAAATAAAACATGCGCTTCTAGAAATTTCCCCCCTCCCCCCCCCCCCCCC